ATTACGTTTTTGATACGTATTACTCACTTATATGTAATAATATAGAATAAAAATATACTATTACTCCGATATTTGAAAATCTGCATGCGATCGTTGTCACTGTGAAAGTGTTGTCATAACAATGGAATAATAAAATAATTTACTCAAATGTACATAATAATACATATACATATCCATAAAAACAATATTAAACGCAATAACCTTTTTGTACGCGAAGAAAAACTAATATAGGTCCGTCGGGATTAGAACCCAAGACTCCTTTCTAATACGTCTACTTTATAGCGAACGGACGGAAAAGAATCCGTTCACGACCATGGTCCCTTCTTAGATTTTACGTAGTTCACAAATTCACCGTTCTCACAACGTAGAGGGCAGCAGAAAATCCCTGACTTTTTACACTATCGGTATTTCAGAACATGAGACACGAAGTCGCATAAGATGATAGGTCTATCCTATACCTAGTCGGTGATATTATGCACACATCACTTTGTTTTGTCATAGACTGAATTGAAATATTTTCACAGGCTAAGATTTCCTTGAAGGGTCTATATACTTGATACGACCTTGGGACAGAGCGAGGGTCCCCTAAACTTGGTGTGGAAAACAACAATTATCGAACACTTCGGTCAAGACACATATATGTATAAATGTATTTCACAGTTTCAACCATGGAGGGGGTGCGAATATTTCCATAAGTGACTTTGAAACAAAAATAACCTTGAATAACCATATTTTGATAAAAGAGTAGTTAGTAAGACGCTTTGAAATTTGGAATAACGTTGAAATTGATGACAGCTGGAATAGTTCAAGTACCTGTAGAGGTAAATAGAATATCAACTTAAAAAAATCTCAAAATTCGAGAATCAAAAACTCTAAGGATTTTATCAGTATTATTGAGCATGACATTGCAATGGTGTGGTTCTAGAGCTCAAAAAACTCGTGAAGAGTATTGACATAGGTTAGTGAGTATTAAAATATTTTTTTACTATATCGACCTCCTATCTATTCCGTTCCTTCCTTGCTGGACGACAGAGTGGGGTGCGCGCGCAAGAGTGAGAAATATGTGTGAGCGAGGGGCGTTCCTATGCTACCATAAAACAGTCTGCAATTAATGAGCTTCTATTTCATATCTTGTCTTTGACCTGATCGTTTTTCCTACCTTAACGACATCGTGTTCCCTGACCGGTGGCGCCGCGTGCGGACCGAACGAACACCCGGTACACCGCTAACCTTCTTGCCTCCGTAGTTTCCGACAGGAATTTCGAATCTATTATCCACTCGGCGCGGGGAAAGTAGAGTACGAAAATAAATGCACCGATGCCTCTACCCGGCTTTCTTTCATGGAACGAGAGGAGTTTATCATTTTGATGGGTAGCTCGTCGAGGAATCTAAGTTAACCGTCACGGGGAAAGGGAAACGCGACGC